AACAAACTCGCAGGGGAATCAGCCGGAGCAGGGACAGGCTGCGTCCTTACTGCTGGTCTCGACTCTGGAACCAGGGGCCACTCCGTCCCCTGACCCCGAGCCTCTGAGACCGGCCGGCGTCTAATGCTGCAGGCACGGCTCCTGGGTGCGGGCACGCGTGCGATTTCTATTCCTGGTAAAGCCAATAGAATACTTTACATTCATAAATGTTGATGATATACTTTAAGGTTTGTTTCGGAACAAATTGTCTTAGTCACTGTTCTGTGTGTCTTGCTGCAGGGATTTATTACCAGGAAACACTTCTTTATCTTAGACGTAAAGATTATAATTTAACTTCTAGACACGGAGAAAGATTGGACACCGCCGAGCTGTGTGACGTCACTCCCAGTGCTGACTGCTGGGTCCTTCTAAAGGTGTTTGCGCCAGGAGCCCATTAGGAAAACAAAGCAGCGAAATCGCTAAAGTCCAATGTCTACCAAAGGATCAGAAAGAAGAAAAAAAAGTTGCCCAACTTTTGCCGAAGTTTAACCGCCTCAGGAAGTGAAAACCACAACAGGAAACCGCCCTGGCCGAGGGCGGCCCTGTCTGTAGATAGACGTGATTGGAGCCCAGGGGGCGGTCGTCCCGGCTTGCTGAGGTCTGAGGAACATACAGTAACTGCCCGTGCGGAAGGGGCACTGGTGGAGGGAGGGCTGACACTGTACACACCCACGCACACGTCCCCGGCAGCGTCCTCCTGGGCCCCTGTGCTCTCCCCCCTCCCACCCTCATGTACGCGGTTTGCAAATATTTTCTTCCAGACCTGAGTAGACTCTTGACATCTCATGAAAACTCAAGATAAACGTTTCCAAATTGAAGCTCCTTGGATTAGCTGTCAGTTTTTTCAAAATATATTTTTATTGATTTCAGAGAGGAAAGAAGTGGGAGAGAGAGAGAGAAACATCGGTGATGAGAGAGAATTATCAATTGGCCGCCTCCTACACGCCCAACACTAGAGATGGAGCCTGCAACCCAGGCATGTGTCCTGACTGGGAATCGGACCGGGAATCGAACCGTGACCTCCTGGTTCATAGGTCGACGCCCAACCTCTGAGCCACGCCGGCCGGGCGGCTGCCAATTTTTACATTTTTAATTGGTATAAAATACCAAGATAGAGTACACTCTACTTTTAACTCAAGCTTTTCCATGTAATAATCATCTCCTACAAGACACAGTGTCTGGCCTGTGAACTTATGTTTAATAATTTAGAAACAATGTTTCCGTTGATTAAGAACGCATTTAGAAATATTACTTGTGCACCATGATCCTGCCACCCGATTTTCTCCGTTCAGCAAAATGAGCACACGTGCCCTGGTGCCCTGACCGGTGTGGCTCAGTGGATAGAGTGTCGGCCTGCGGACTCAAGGGTCCCGGGTTCAATTCCGGTCAGGGGCATGTACCTTGGTTGCGGGCACATCCCCAGTAGGAGATGTGCAGGAGGCAGCTGATCGATGTTTCTCATCGATGTTTCTAACTCTCTATCCCTCTCCCTTCCTCTCTGTAAAAAATCGATAAAAAATATATATTTTTTTAAATGAGCACACGTTAGGATGCTGTAATCCATAAAATTCAGTGTAAATGCTAACGCCTTGTGAAGCACGCTGGGGGGAGGGGGGTGACCAAGCCTACTACAGTGGCAGTGGTTTCACTGTGAACATATTATAGAGTTTGTATGGTAACATTTTTCATTTTAAAACACAGTTGTTCAGTAACATGGATGGACCTTGAAAATGTTAAGTGAAAGAAACAGTCCCCAAAGGCCACCTACTGCGTGACCCGTTTTCTGTGGGGCGTCTGGAAAGACAAAGGAGAAGCGGGGAGGCCTGGTCCCCTGGGTGTGCGGGTTGGGACAGAATAGAAGCTACCCAGTAGCGGTTCCGTTTGGGTCAAGAAAATGTTCACAAATGAGTGGTGGTGGCTGCACAAGTGTGAATCCACCAAAACCACCAAAGTTCACACCTTTACAGGTGAATTTTATGGTGTGTGAGTTGTATCTCAATAAAGCGATTATTTTATAAACACTGTTGAATTTCCCTTTAAAAGAGTCCACAGAGCTCACCTCCCTCTCTAGATGTGGTTCTCTCTGTTCGCACCCAGGTGCTCATGCTGCCCCTCCCTCCATGGCCTTCCATGGCTGATGCGAATGATAAATCCAAGACTTGGCCCTTTTCAAAGCCTGGGAGTAGGAGGCCCAGGGGACGTGGATGTGCAGAACGAAGAGTGAGGACAGGCCCCTTCGCCAGGCATTGGGGGGGGGGGACTGGAGAAAGAGGGGCAGATGGGATGGGCAGCAAGGCCCCTGAATCTCCGAGATGGAAACACGAGCAGGTGCTCCCTCACGGGGAGAGGACCGATGCGGCCTGTTCTCCCGCACACAGAACGCAGGGCTCACCCACTCACTGCACGCCATGCCCAGGGCCGCTGCCGCTGCCGCCGCCAGGCCTGGCTGCCCTGCACTCATCCGCGTGGCGCTCAGAAGCACCTTTCAGTGGAGCCTCGCCTTCCAGAAAGCCCAGCTTTTGTTGCTTCCATTATGCTCCCTGCCCTCCCGCCCCCCTGGCCTTCTGATGAGGTCCCACCGCACGCTGGGCCTGTGGTTCCTGCCCCGTAAGGAGTCTCATTGTAAAAACCCTCCTTCCTCCGCTTTCCACACCTGCTCAGCACTTTCCTTTTTCTGCCGTGTTTTTACGTCAATCACTAGATCAGAGGTCCTCAAACTTTTTAAACGCGGCCAGTTCGCTGTCCCTCAGACATTCCACACATGCGCACAGCGGACCCGGGACGAGTCGGCTGCTAAGCAGGACAGGCAGTGGCGGCAAAAACACCCGGCGGGCCGGATAAATGTTTTCGGCGGGCGGCATGTGGCCCGAGGGCCGTAGTTTGAGGACCCCTGCACTAGATGGATCATTTTTAGGGTTTCTAACTGGTTCTTTTAAAATATGATCTTGTTTGATTTCTGCCAGTTGTTAATTTCTGATCCTTTTTCATGGATGCTGTTCCACCATCTACTTCTTCAGGGTTCCTAAACATGTACTTAAAGCTCTTTTCAGAATGCTCTGCTGTTTTTTCGTTTTGTTTTTTAATATATTTTTATTGATTTCAGAGAGGAAGGAAGAGGGAGAGATAGAAACATCAATGATGAGAGAGAATCATGGATTGGCTGCCTCCTGCATGTCCCCCACTGGGAAGGGAGCCTGTAATTCAGGCATGTGCCCTTGACTAGAATTGAACCTGGGACCCTTCAGTCCGCAGGCCGACTCTCCATCCACTGAGCCACACTGGCCAGGGCTGCTCTGCCGTTTTGATTTTGTCTGGAGTCGATCCTCTTTAGGTTGCTGCTGTTTGATGGCCTGTAGCATTTGGCTTATGCGTGTGGATTGGAATCTGTGGTCTGTGGGCTCCTGGGAGGTGGGGATTCTCTCTCCTCCCTCCTCCCTCCTGCTGAGGCCTTGACCCGCAGCGGGTCACATGGTCTCGGCCTGAGCAGCCCAGAGGCAGGGCCGCAGGGCCCAGCTGGGCTCCCAGTCAGGGGCTCAGTGTGTTCTCCAGGCTGCTTGGTCCCGAGCACAGGGCCCGGCTCCGAGCAGGATCCACCTGCTTTGGGCCAGAGAGGAGCCAGCTGTTCTGTTGTTCCAAGTGCCCTCGAATTCTTCCTTTTCTCCTTCATTCTTTAACATTTTTGATTTAATTTTTTAAAATACATTGTGATTGATTTCAGAGAGGAAGGGAGAGGGAGAGAGAGAAACATCAATGAGGAGAGAGAATCATCCATCTGCTGCCTCCTGCACGTCCCACACTGGGGATGGAGCCCGCAACCCGGGCCTGTGCCCTGACCGGGAATTGAACTGTGACCTCCTGGTCATAGGTCGCTGCCCAGCCCCTGAGCCAGCTGCTGGGCTCTCCTCTGATCCTTTGCCTGTCCTTGGGGTGATGACCTCTGTGTGGCGCGGAGGCTGCAGAGGACGGACCTCTGTCACCAGCTCAGCAGGAGCCTGGGGCCGAGGCTCACAGGTCACAGGGTGACTGCAGAGGTCAGTGGTACTTTCTAAGAGGCTCAAGCTGCTCGCACCCCTCGAGCAGACGTGTGCGACCGGGCACGCTTCATTGCGAGGTGCCTGCAGGTGAAGCGAGATCCTCGGGGGAGGGCGTCCCGGGGCATCTCACACTCGCTTCTCTTGGTTCCTCTCGTTTTACCGCTGGTAGAGCATCTAACGGTGCCCACTCCCTTCATTGGGTGTTTTTGTTCAAATAACAGTTAAAGGGAGTTTGAATGAAAAAATTACCAATTTTCCAGAGAAGTTATGTATGTCCTGTATATCACCGTAGTATATATTAGATAGTTATATAACTTTAATGTATTTCTGTAAGTAATATCACATGTATTACATATTTATAAATCATCTATATTATAAAAATATATTTACATACATATGTAATGTGCCTTTTCTGGCAAAAAGGGCATGATATATTCCTATTATATGATACTTTAAGGTTTTAAGTAGATTTAAGTTTTAGAGGTATTTAGAAGTATTTGTAGATTAGGGCTGAATGAACTCTTACTTTTTAAAAATAGTGTAACTAAAAATAAAATACTTCAAAAAATAAAACCAAAAGTTAAATATAAAGTGGAAAATAAAAATTTAAAGACTCATATTTTTAAAAAAATTAACCTTTTCCAACCTCACCCAATGCAGTCTTGTAGTCTTTCATCGCACACCTCAGTGTCTCTGTCTGTAAGGTGGGGTTGATAACAAATCCCAAGGGATTTTATTTTTATACAGCATTTCTTGAGCACTTAAACACAATTTCTTAAATGTATCAGAACTCAGCAGGTACTCTATGGACCGCCAGGCTGCTTTTAAAACTTTATCGATAAGTTTTAACTTATTAAACTTTATCAATAAGCCACAGTGGGTTGGGACTAGGAATTGTAGCTTGGGTATTAATACACCACTCACACATACTCTAAATGGGGTTTTTAATGGGAGTTAGGAAAACACTAATAATGAGCACTGACACGTAGCCGTCTCTGGGTGGTGCACCCCCGTGTGCCACATCTCCCATCACAAAAGCCCTGCAGGGAGCCCACCCTGTGTTCTCGAACAGCTGCGTTCCCTCTTGAGCAAAGACTCCATGCACTTCCGTGGGCACCAGCACTGGAACTGCCAGCTTTACACACCGACTCCCTCCCCTCAGAGCCAAGTCATTCCTGGTAACAGCACCGCCAGGAATAAAGCTCTTTCTGTTAGAGTTCAGCTGAAACCGGGTCTGATGACCCGCGTGGCTCGTGGGAAGCCTCGCCCAGACAGCGCCTGCCCTATGGGCATCAGGGTGCGCGCAGGAACCAAAACAACACGCAACAGCTTGAGTCTCTAGAGAAGCATAAAGGAGCAGAGCGCCAGCACACGGGACGCCACTCCTACAGACGCTTTTCTGCGAGTCTCCGCACTTTGGTGTTGAGAAAGACCAGATAGAGGTCCATTGAAGGCTCCGTCCCCATGGCACGGGTTCAACACCTCAGGCTTCCGGCTGAAAAGCCTCCTTATGCAGCTCTGCCTGTGCAGCAGCAAGAGCTGGCGGGGGACAAAGCCCAGCAGGAGCACAGAAGCCCATCGCCGGCCAGAGAGAAATTATCTCCAGGCTGGAACAAAGTGATGACGGAAATAAAGAGGCTTTGTCCCATGCAGCTCCCCGATCCCATTCCTTAGCTTCGGGTATTTCAAAGATGCAGGCTTTTTGCTACATCACAGGGTGGGCAGGGTGAGAGGCCCCCGGGGCCTGCATGGGGAATATCCTGCGGGAATATGTTCTGCAGCCAATTTTTGGGGGGTTGGAGGGGGAGCAATTGAAAACATGCAAAGAGGCCCTGGCCGGGCGCTCAGTTGGTTGGAGCCTCGTCTGGATACACCAAGCTTGCGGGTTCCATCCCTGGTCAGGCACAGACAAGACTCAACCAATAAATGCATGAATCAGTGGAGCAACACATCAATGTTTCTCTCTCTCAAATCAATCAATAAATTAAAAAAACCCCAAAAGAACATCCAAACAAAGAAACATCCCTAAAATGTACAAAACTTGCTATGGAAACGCACCTCGGGTGAGTGGGAGACTTAGAGGCTGTCCTGTTCTGCAGCACAAACGCCGCCCGCGCCGCCCCCGTTAATGATGGGCTATTGGTCAGCGTGGGGTCCGGGCCTGTCCGTGCGGCCTCGTGGCTCCATCTGGGAGGCTGTGCTCCAAGCACCGGGGATCCGGCCGCGC